CTCCTTCCTCTAATTAGCTGAACTAAGTATGATATTACTTTTCCATGTAACTTCTGTAGACTGCATGCTATGTTCTTGTAGGCATACACTTACAATATATCTGTTTGGAGGATTTTCTTGATCATTACAAAAATAAAGATTGAGTCCTTTTATTTAAGTTTCATTGATTGTCAAGGTTCACATATTTTGTGCATACATGTCTTGGTGCAAAAAATAGGTTATGAGGTAAAAACACACAAAAAGACTGCCATACTGAGGGATGGATATGGGTTGCTGATAACTAGGCTTGGCTTGGCTTCATCAATATAAGGCCCATTTCCTTGAGCATACATCTAGCAAAGCAAGATGTCCTATAGCTCACCCTGGCCTGCGCACTATCTACCTACCAATCTCCAGGCATCCGTTTCCCATCTTCTCATCAGCTTCTGTTCACACTTGATTCTTCTTCCCATTTCTAGAGCAACTTGCTTACATTTGGGAGACCCTTTCTGCTCCTCTTGTAGAGCTCACATTGATTGCTATATTTCTTGGAAGTCAGTAGTTGTCAAATATGCTACATGGGAAGTATTGAACATTTTGGATGTTCATTATTTTATTCCAACTTCATTTTAATGTAGATTAACATCATGAAGATGCCCCTCTCTTCCTCATAAACTTTGAATGCTTTGTTTGTTAGCAGGAATTGTCTTTTTGTATATCTTAACAAAATGAACCCTGGAGGGAAAACAATGATAAAAAATACTCTGCTTACTTTGAAATATCACAAGGAAACTTGGCCATAACCCCATTCATGCTTCCAAGAAATGAGGGAGTGATTATGTAACCCATATCATAGTGGAAAGATACAGTATCCATGCTTTATTATGATGTGTATGTAGGTGCCTGTAGGTGGTGTTTATTACAGAAGATTCATTAGTGAACACGCTCTTGTAAGTACCTGGCAGATGGCAGCATCAAGCCCAGTCATATATCATGCTGTATCGCAAGTGTCTACCCTCGGAAAGCTAGCCCGATTTACGAGCAATTTGCTTAGAAGCTCCTGCAGCCAGGGGCCCGCGTAATCAGCTCCCAAACTGTAAATTTTCCATCAAGTGTCCAACAGCCTGTGATGTGCCTAACGACACTGGCACCCTTCCTTCCTTCCTCCCTCCGTCACTCCGTCTCCTTCTTATTGCGTTAGCGTAAACACCGAGTAATGAATTCGCGGATGCACCGTGTGTTTCCCAGATTTACTGCTCGGTCTGTCAATTGCATGCAGATTTATTATGGCTCAATCTGCTGTAGTAGATACACCATCTCATTATATCGGGCTCATCAGGGGGATAGTGTCTATTTTAGGGGGTTTTCTTCAATGATTTTCTCAATAGAGTTTTAATCAAGGCATATATATATATATATATATATATATATATATATATATATATATATATTTATAGTGATCATAATGATAATATCTCGGTCATGGTAGACTGCCTCCATGAAGTGAGAAATGCAACTGAGCAATCCTACAATATTAAAAAAAGCCAATTTCGAAATCCATTATGATCTCATTTTGTTCAATTCATTTAAAATGAGGGAAGGAAATAGTAGTATAAATTATCCTCTAATATATCAGGTAGTGTTTCCTCCTCCCAACTAAAATATGTAATTCAGCAATCTTGTAATCAGCATCAATTTATCACAGGAAATATGTAACATTTAGAGTTCACGTTTGTTAATTGTGTGAAGCGATATGGTTCAATTTTCCCACACCGATATGGCAGTAAGGTGAGAGGAACCCTTTCAGAAAAGTGCATTAACATCATCTGCACAGATTTACGTCAAATTAGTCAAATTTGTGGCCGGAGATCATGGCATTGGGACAAAGGAAGAGTGCAGAGTTGAACTTGGTCCACCAATGACTTGATGAGTTCCTGTTGTTTAGAATGGGTCCTTGTATCTCCAGGTAGGTAGTATAATGATTCATGAACTCATTGAACTTGATGTATATACCAGATATATAATCACTCATTGTCAACATTGGAATTTAATTGGCAATTGAAACAAGTCTGCATAGTATTTAAAATACAGATTAATTAGTTCTGACAAGGTGACATTTAAATTGGAGAATTTATATTTATTCCTTTTTTTGGTTAAATGGTAGTAATCAGCATCAGTTAATCTAAAAAGTATAGTTCCAATAATGATGAAACAAAATGGACTCACTTAACTTTCTCTGCATTTTCATTCAATACAGAATCCCAGAAGGAATTCCAATTACAAAAAGTGACATGAAAAAACAACATGACAAATGTCCCTTCCCTTACTAGATATGTGGAATTCTATTGAAGCTGAACGTTTGGTTGTAAGGCATTGTTGGTAACTGAGCATGTCTAGGTACTTTCAGAACTTAAATCCATCAATAGAAATGTAATTTATTTCTTTGACAAATTAAGTTACAGCCCTCTAAATTGGACCCTTCTTTCTTTCTTTCTTTCCTTTTCATTCAAGCTCTGTCTTCTTCTCCTGTGGGTGTATAACCCCAAAACATGTTGGCCTAGAAATAGTAGGGAGGTATACCTATTTCTGGAAAACGTATTTGATTTTTGCGTGGCCTAGCAAGGCCCAGTTTCAGAGAACTAAGTGGATTTAGGGCAATTGGGATGGGATAAAATGCTTTCCATTATTGAGAATCATGTGGAAATAGACAATCACACTGAAATTGAAGCTGAATCGCATATTCGTTATGGAAAATAAAAGGAGAATATGTGTATTTCCATCCAAGTCATCAGGTGTAAACTAGATGCCTTAATATGTTTTGAAGCATTTGCTTGCATTTGCTTATCAATTTTTCATAACTAGTGTCTTTTAAAGTGTGAGCTAAGAGATGTGACGCCGTCGAAGAATGTAACTGCAGTAGAATTAGTGAATGCTTTGTTAACAATGTTAGTGTGTGTCTGTGAAGTTTAGGATTAGATGTTCTCTGGAGAAATTATGGAGTTGGTCAGACTCGGACAATGTTTTAACTTGAATGCTACAGGAACGTAGGAGAAAAGCTGGTTTGGAAAACCAAATGTGTAACATGAATTAATGTGTAAACAAAGGGTTTCCAACTACCAAGAGAGACATTCTGTATTCAAGGAAAAGTGAACAAGATATATACCGTAGAGCATGTGATTACATATCTAATCAGGGCAGGGATCTATCGGACTGATTGATTGGGCAAGGAAGAAAATATGAGAAGAGCATTAAAGGAAGGAGTGTTTGTTTGAGCTAGTGAGCATGAAGATGATCATTTTCTCCCACTTTTAATTTGATAGCCCCTAGCGTCGCTGAAAAGCCAATTTCGGCAGCACAAGGTAGGGCTTGCCAGACCGTAATCAGAGAGACTACAAACACGCAAATCGTGAGGCAGCAAATGTACGAGATTAAGGTCACCAAAGTACGAAGTACGGGACCTGATTGCAAAACAACACAATGAGAGAGAGAAAGAGTGGGAGAGAGAGAGAGAGGGAGAGAGAGGGAGAGAGAGAGAGAGAGGGAGAGAAAAAAAAGAGAGAGTGAGAGAGTGAGAGAGAAAGAGAGAGAGAGAGAGAGAGAGAGAGAGAGAGAGGGGGGGGGGGGGAGGGGGAGGGTACTTCACAGGGAAATGGAGGAGAGAAAATATGATGGACATGTATTCACACCTCTGCCATCTGTTGTAGACCAGTATATGGTCTTGTTTGGTACTAGAAGGGCATTAACCTGGAATTACCGCCCTACTGGGTCTTAACTTAACTGACGATATATGAAAGGTGCAATCAGATCTCAATAAGCCAATATTCCAATCTTAATTCAGGATTTTTTATACAGAGAGACCAGATTTTTTTCAAAGATTTTTTTATAATAACGCCTCAATATAGGTTAATATTTTAATAAGGAAGAAGATGAAAATGGGATGGGTGATGGGCAACGGTAAGAGAGATGAAGAAGCATTCATCCCATTGTCCTGCACATCTTCTGATGCTCTCGTTGCAGCTACCTGACTGCCTGCTGTATGTACATGGCTTAGCCGTAAAGGGCTCTAATTGATCCCCACAAATAGGATTCCTTGGCAGACTGCATTATGCACCTGCTAGAAAGAGGATGATAGAATTGGACATTATTTACATCATAGTCTACAATCTAAACATTTTTATGGGATACAGTGCACTTTTTTGTGCCCTCCATCATGAATTATATGAAAATATGAAAGTTAGAATTTAAATTATTGTCAGTATTTATTTGTACTATGATGAGACCTCAGGAAAGTTTGTTTGAGTTATGCTAAATTCATATTTAGCTAAAGAATATGAACAAAGGAAACCACCGTCTTGTACTCTCAACAAAATTATTATTGGTGTTATGGATTTTATAATTTGTTAAAAGCCCTTAAAACTGGTGGGAGGAAATATTTTGTGTGTGAAAACTTCCAACGAGCAAAGATTATATTTAATAAATCTGTGCAGTCAGAGGCATGGTCACAGGTACACAATCAGGATAATTAATTTAATCATTCATCATCATAGGAATCCTCATTCTGAAGACTTTGTATCGGTGGCTGTGTATCGGTTTAGGCTAGATAATGATCCCAGGGATGTACTTTCCTCAATTCTTCTTCTCTCTGTTCAGCTCTCATTATCTTCTCCTGCTCCTCTTGTTTAACAGAGAAAGTGTTCAAACTCACACCAGTAGAGATATGTGGTTGGTCTTGAAGGAGTTTGTGTTGTGGTCAAATAACACTATCCTTATTTCATTTCTTTAATCATCTCTTAGTCTGGTTTGCAGGCATTGTAGCCTGGATTACCACCTCTTTCTCTTGACAATCCTGTTTGGTTAAGTTCTCTATACAGTGGATGATCAAATACAGCATACTGCTACATGTTGACACTTGTACGATTTAAACGTATAGTGTTGTGTTTGATGAGAAATAATTTTTTCATTTTATTTATATATTTTATGTAATTTCTTTGTTTTCTTTCTCATTTGTTTTTACTCTGCAGGTAAAGATAGTTGTACCCAACAGTACAGCAGGGCTTATAATAGGTAAGGGTGGAGCCATGATCAAATCCATAATGGAACAAAGTGGTTCCAGAGTGCAGATCTCACAGAAGTCTGATGGCATCACCCTGTCAGAGAGAGTCATCACAATATCTGGAGAGAGTGATAACAACAGGAAGGCGATGTCTTTCATAGTCAACAAGATCCAGGAGGATCCCCAGAGTGGTAGCTGTAATAACCTCAGTTATGCCACTATTACAGGTCCTGTAGCCAATGCTAATCCCACCGGTTCTCCTTTTGCAGAGGGGGTCTCACCTACAGTGGCTAACAACATGGCCGCTGCAGCAGCAGCAGCAGCAGCAATGGGCAAACCACAGGTCTCAGTGGCTGGCCAGACCTTATCAGCAACTGCCCTTCCTCATCCCATCGGTGGTGGGCTGACCATTCCTTCCATGATGCTCAGCTCGAGGATTCCCACCAGTCTAGCAGCTCCTGTCCCCAGCCAAACAGATACCTCCAATTTATGCAGTGCCATGAGCAACTTTGCAGCATACAACTATCCAGGTCTATCCTCCATTGGCAATTTTCAAGGTCCCTTTGGTGCCACAAGCCCATTATTAGGTGCCACAGCTCCAATCCAGGCAGCCCCTCAGATGTTCTCATCAGGATTGCTAGGATCCTACCAAGTAGCTACCACCATGAGTCCTTCCAGCAAAACAACTCTGTCCAGTCCATCTCCCACCAGTACCGCCGATTCACCCTACTCAACCAATGGTAGTACAATGGGTATTTCCATCCCCAGTGCCCCTGAGACCATGGTGCCTGGACTTCCAATGATGCCACTTGGTGCCACCATGGCTGGCTTCCCTTCTATGGGTGGAATCACGATGGCAGCCGACCCACAGAAGGAATCAATCCTGGAGAGCGAGGTGCCGGAGACCCTAGTTGGTGCTATTTTAGGGAAGGGAGGTAAAACGCTAGTGGAATTCCAGAATCTCACCGGGGCCAAAATCCAAATCTCCAAGAAGAATGAATATGTTCCAGGCACACGCAACAGACGGGTAACGATAACTGGTCCAGTCACAGCAGCTCAGAACGCACACTTCCTGATAATGCAGCGGTTGGCCCAAGAGGAGCAGAATAGAGCCTTGAAGGGTACTACCTAAAAATCAATTTAGTGAAGAGTCGTGCCTCACTCTCACTCACTAGAAATCTTTCTTATTCACCAAAGCATCTTGGATGACCAAGATTTACCATAGTAATTATATAACAAGGAAAGTGTGCCTTGTGTGTGGAAGACATTTACAGATAGGCAGGATGATCATAGTCATGAAATCACTCATTTTTATGAGAAAAAGAGATAAGAAGGAAATCCAAATCAGGAAATTGAGATCTTTCTTTCAATCTTTCAGTTCGATCAGTGAGATTTTGAACTCATGGAACAATTCTAGAGACTTACCAATTGCATATGTGAGAAAGAAATTAAGAATGATTTGAAGAAATTTTCTCAATTCCTTGAGGACAGCAATTGTGTCTTTGATTAATTTTTGTTGCCTTGTTAGTCTCTACACATTGTGATTTCACTCTAATCATGGCGTTTTGTGCTGCTCGAGCGAGGACCCGCCCGCCCGCTGGTTATATTTTTGGATGTGCAGTTGATTTACGAAGGGGAGAGTGCATAGACAAGTAGTAGTGTAAGTATTCATATGTTGTATATTGAATATCTGATTGATGCTTCCTCCATTACTGAGAAAGAAAACAGATTATTTTGTGATTGTGTTCTTTGTACTTTGATTCTTCTCTGATCAGAAATTCTTCCCAGAGAATCTTTCTTCTTTGGTCGATGATAGACCTAGAGACCATCGATCACTACTGGGACTAAGCAATATGGTGCTGGATTTGATTATTGTAGTTGTTAGATTTGGGGGATGGGTTTTTTGAAATTCTTGTTAATGATCAACGATGATTTGATTTCTTTTCTCATTTGTCTACCAATTAATTTATTGATTTATGTTGTCATCCTTCATTTTATTTTAGTTCAACCATGTGTATTTGCAACTCTTTCATGTAGACTTTAGTAAACAGAAGCAAAAGCCTTTTGTTTGTATTTTTATCCATAAGAATTTGTTTCCTGGGGGAATTCTTTAAATCTTGAGGGAGTGTCTAGGGTTGATATTCATTGGGAAAATACCAAGAAATGGAGAAAAGAAATGTTAACGATGAACGCTTCCAAACGACCCAGCCTTCACAAAGCAACATCTCTCACATGTGCTCACAAATCCTCAACTCCAAACTTCAACTTCAGACTGTATTAACAACATGTATGCATGCTGCATTCCTTGTGGGAATAAACAATTCCTGACTCATTTACGTTGTACATCTTGTCCGTGTACGACTTGCTACGTACAGAGACGAAAACGTCGTTCTTCTACACCTTTATTTTTCTCCAGACATTATTACCTTTGACATTTCAAAACATCTTGTATTTGTTAAGCACCTTTTATTTCAAGACTGTAAACACTTCCTTTGAAACTAAGCATCAATATGATTCTTGTAAACAGTCTGATCATTATTCATCTGTAATGCTTTATTCTTCAAATCACTTGGCTCTCCAACTTTTAAGGATTTAGATCTCTATTTTCTACCGAATGTATTTGTGTGTTACTGATCCAGCAATTATAATCCCACCTATGTTTATTTTCTTCATTACGAAATCAAACTCATTTTGGGTCTAAACTTGTCTATTTTTTCTGCTTTCACTTTTAGTGTCATGTGATAAATTTTGCATTAATCTTGGTAATTTTATGCATTCACAAAGCATGTACTATACAAGGCCAAACCTTTGCATCTTCTATTCAATTATGATTTGGGTGCTCACTACATTATTGTTTACATTGAGACAAATGCATATTGTCTTCTGAATAAAGAGGAAAATGTTTTAAATGAGTACAGTTCAAAAATGGCTTTTCATTCAAAGGTATGTACCTTAGGAAGAGTGCTTTTGTGGAATAGCTGTCTCTAACGATCGAAAGACCTTGTCCAAATTGAGCTCCCTTCCTGTATGGTGAGACCCAGTGTTAGTTTGGCCAAGGTGCTATGTTTAAAGCAAGGTCTTGTTATACATGCGTTGTGAATGCAGGTTTATGTAATAACATCTCGGTAAATATATGCTGCATTTGATTAGACCATGATTCAAACCTTTGTGGAAGTAGTACTAAGACTTAGTAAAATATCATTTTGTATGTGACCGGAAGGTATTGGTATGTGCATTCTAACAGGATATCTGACTCAATCGTGTCATTGGACTCAACATGTCACCCTTGCTACTTAACCAAGTTTCATAGCTTAAAAATTGCTTTTCACTTTGTTTTTTCAGTGTTTCACTCTCTTTCAAAATACTTTCATAATCTATACCAAACATATTTCAGTCACTTTCAGGGGGCATATGACCAATAGAGTATAATATATATCTATATATATATCTATTAATGCATTTTGTTGCTTTTGTCGTCCATGTATAGTGAGATAATTTTCTATGAATAAATCTAGACAAGATAACTTCAAACATTACATGCATGTTGTTGACTTTGTATATTCATTTTATTTAATCATGGAATCACTCTGTCACACTTGCTTTATATGCACACAACAGAATTTAACCTACACCTTTTTGCTTCTGTTAGGATGAGTTCAAAGAGATTGTTTCCCCCCTGTCCTTACCCAGTCATTTCCAATAGCCTTTCAGTATTGGGGACAATGATTGTCAAATAGGTGCTTTTACACTCATGGTCATCTGCACTTACCATACCATCAGGGCTACTACACATACGTTGCATAAAAAGTCATTCAAATAGTCATTACTATGTTCTAATATTTCCCCTCCCATGATTATGTTGATCATGTAGAGTAGATAATTTGCTTCCCTTGTATAATACTTCGTTCATACACAATGTTACATTTTCTTGTACTCAGTATTTTAGCAGTTTGCTTTAGTCATTATCCTTCAATTGAAGTGCATGGTTGTTCAATCTTGCCCAAATTTGTTTATACTCTTAATATAAATTTAGGAACAACAAACCTTGGGTCTTTTAGTGAAGTCAAGCGATGTTAAATATGGCTTTGATATTTTCTGCCAAAATAAGAAGAAAAAAGAATAGACACTTTTAATGAGTGATTTATTCTTACTTAATAACCTATTGGTGCTGACACATCATTTTTTTTTTTTTTTTTTTGGGGGGGGGGGAGAGGTTGTATCCATTTATCATCAACTCATTTTGGAACTAGAATTGAACATCCACATCACATCATTGGAAGGTAATCGACCATGAAAATACATGTATTGACATTGTTGCTTGGTGATTTGCTACCCTTAATGGTATTTTTATCATGAAGTCTGGTTAGTTTGTTGCTTCAGATGGTATAAAAAAAAGAAAGAGGACAAGATTGCACATATGGAAAAACAGGCAACAGACTTTGACCATACTTTGGGTAACAGATAATGATGTTGACTGACTGATAGAGTATATTTAATAACACTGGGAATGGTTGAAGATTAACATAGACCTTGTTAATCATTAACTTCTATTGTCAACAATCACTAACCAAGCCATATGAGTGTGTGGTATCCATTCTCTTAATGTATATGTCTATTATTTCATGCTTTCCCACCCAAACCTTATAGATCTTAGAGCATAAAATTCAACTTATTTGTGTACATGTTGTGTAATGTGTTATCATGCCAATGTATACATGATTTGTTTTTTTTTCTTTCAAAGCCTTGTCACCATGCACATACTAACCCTCCCAATCATTTCAGGTGTACTTTGTATTATCATATTTGTTATGCATTTTGTTTCAAGCATTCAATCATGTTCAAGTATACATGGATATACCAAAGTTGTCAGGAGCACTGACAAATCTTCCAGAGCTTCTTTTAAAACAAATGTATGCTCTATTTGAAAGTTGTGTTTTTATTTTATGTGAAACAGAAAAAGAGAGTATATATCTTCCAGTAAGCATCTTGACAAAAAAGAGCATTATCTTATCATAAACACCTTTTTATAATTTAGGTTTCTTTCCTTGATTGATCACTTTTAAGAAAGAACTGTAGGCCATGAATTTAGATGCGGCAAAGTTTGTTCATTTTCTTTCACTCAGAAAATGTATTGTTTGTGTAACTTTGATTTATACTTTGTATATTTCAGACAATTATTACATCTTGACTATCCCACCAATTTTTTCTTAGTGTGGAAAATATGACAACTCATCTTGTTTCTTTGTCTTAAGAATAGAAAATTATATTTTTATGATGAAAGAAGTATATTTAAGCAAATGAATTAATATAAAGTATTTGTTTTAGGATAAATTTGATGAAGGAAATTCATTTTGTCGTATCCAGTATATTGTGTGTTATAATCATTTCAACTGCATGGTAAGTGTAAAATCATTTCCACTGCCATAAGAAAATGCAAAAGTTTATGATAAGTTTCTTACAAATTCATGATTATTTTAAGGTTAACGACTCGAAACAAATCATGACGATACATTATTTCAGATACTGCTTTAAGATTTGTCCCTTTTTATCTTCCTTTTACAGCAATTTCGTGCAGATATATAATCTCCAAGAATATTTTGTATTGTGCTTTTTCAAAAAACGACTTCTTCTGCTTTAAATTACTTATATTCTCAGAAAGGGAATAATCCAAATTTGTACAACTTCTATTTGAATGATAAGTGCCTGAGCAAAACTTTTTTTTTTGACAGGGGTGCATTGATTATGTCCCAAACCCCTTTTGTGGCTTCCCTATTATTAAAAGGGGGTTATTATATATGAAGAAAGAATCATTTGCTTTTGCAGTGCATATCATTACTATGTATTTGTGAATCTGTCAACATCATCATAAAGCATGATTGGTGCAAGTTTGTAGCTCATTTTATATCGGTTAAAATCCACCGAAAAATAGTTGATATCGAACGAGATGATTAGATAAATCTTCTGTTTTGTTGTATTTACGTATACATGTATAGATCTATATACATATAAATATATATATATTTCTGATGACAGTTTTTTTCTGTGTAGGTTTAAGATGGATTTTGTAATTTATGATTGTACAATGGTAAATTTTTGAGATTTTATCATTTGTATCTTTTATGGAAGCAAGACAACTTTCGTCCAGGGGCGACTTGGAGACTTTTCCCAAGAAAATAGAGTGGGAGAGTTGGGTGAATAAGGGTGCTATGATATAGTAATATTTTGAAAATAATGGGATATTTTCGGATATGATGATTTGTTGTTTGTATGCGTGTGATAGATTTCTTATTTAGTGGGATTATGAATGTTTTTCTTTTTTACGTAAGATAGTAGTAGTATTGTAAAGATGTAAGCTCTGTGGTTAAATGTTTTAAGTCTCATGGCCACTTTATGAAGAAAAAAAGAAAAAAAAGTCTTGAAGGTTTTATGTAGGTCTTTCCTAAGTTATTTTTATGTTTTCTCTTTCAGTTGTGTAGTCTTAGGAGAGCACATGAAGCTCTGTTTAAATATTGTTTAGCTATTGTATATTCTGAGGAAACGTGGCAAAATATTTCTACTTCCAAGACCACATATTAATACTTAATTGTTTTCATTTAGGTAAGCACAGTTTCTAGCATTTCAACTGCTAGGCAATCACTCATTGTTTAATTTTTCTCCTGTTTTTGTTTTTCTCTGATTTTTTTTTCCTGAGCACTTGTACATGAGCCATTTACCCATCATCTACATATGTTCTTTAAACCACATTGCATTTATAAAACATTGTTGCTCTCTTTTTTTCCTCAAATCCATCATCATTGTGTCTATGTGTTTCATTTTGACCTCTTCTTGCTGAGATGTGTACATTCTAGGCATTGCATGATATTTAAACAAGGTTGACTTGTCTTATATTTTCTCTCTTTCTATCTTTCTATCCTGACTTTTTAAACTCACATGTCACATCAATAAAACACAACTCAAATGCTCTGACTAAACTACAAACCCAAACCAAAGAAAAAAGGAAATAAATTGCAACTCATACTGTTAACGTTTTATTTTACTCATTATTCCTTTTTATACATCAGCTTCCAACCATTTTTTCCAATCTAATACGGTGAAGGTGTGTTTTGCATAGTGGATAGTCAACATGTAATAACTTGATCTTTTCAGCATTCCAGGGAAGGAACACTTCTTTCCTGATTTAAGTTGGTCTTTATCATGTTTCTTCTACTATTTTTTTCTTCAGTTACCAGACACTAACTTCATTGGTTATCAACCCCATCCCCCTTTTTTTTGCTGCTTGATGTGCACTTGTTCATGCCCCATCCCCCACTTGTGTTCTCTCATCTCATCCAGTTTAAAGTTAGTGCTTGTGCTTGCCCCCTAGTCCTTGATCTATTTCACAAGCCCCATATAAAGACAGTATGGTGGAGCGAGGTTAAAGTGCCCATATATTTACTTGCTCTTTACACAGGGAAATGTTTGGAGAGGGGAACCAACACTCGTCATATTCATTTCTTGTGAAAACACCCGCTAGGTGCTCTTCACAAGACCTCAGTCTATGAAGGGATCTATGTAGACCCTGTTTACACTAAATTCATCCTAGATGTTATCCCATCTAGGCATTTAGTGACTGGAGCTATCAACGCATTGATTTCTGGTTTCGATTTCTGTCTCAAGTTCCTGATGCCTTTTTAAGTCATTAATTCCCTTTTCTGGACTCCCTAATCAAACACCCTCTTCAAATTCCTCTCGCTTGCAATCCCTTATTGAGACCAATGGTGAGCCAATATCAAATTCTGTTCTGGGTCCATCCATCCATCCGTCTTGGGCAACAATTGAAATGTAATCTGAAGAAAATAGAACCTAATGAGCCCCAGCATCTGGGTTGATGATTACGGAGACTCATTTTCTACTCAGTCCACATGACATTGCTTGTTCAACCTCCATACCACATACCTTACTTACAAGGAATGGTGATGCCCACGTGCGTCCGATCTCTCTTACGGTTGTCACAAGGACATAAGTATACGGTGAGGGCTAGATGGGTCTTAATACCTGGGACCTTCTCAACCCCCCCCCCCCCCTGTATTACAGATGTTAATTTTAAAATATATTGAACACAAGTGGGTTTTGGGAAGTCCTCGGACAACAATGTCAAAATTGTCAAATTGTTCTTTATTACTGTTAATAGGAAATCAGAATTCAGAATTCAGTTTCATTTATCTTCCTAAAGAAAAAGGCAAGAAAGGGGATTTGTTTTTCCTTTGAAGAAATGTCCTCTATCAATGTCTGGTTTGTAATATTGCTATTTGAATATCTAGAATAACCCAGATACATTTAAATTACTTCAGAAAGTTGATATGCATTGTTCAGATTCAATATTTCATACACAAGATTCAAGAGGCAGAACAAATGAATGATCATGGGTTTTCATATAATACATTATCACACAGGGAAATTGCCAATTTACTACACAACATACAAATTTCTTTTCTTCATGCTTTCTCCATCACATCGTGTTCTTATCAGTTCCTTCTATAATATTTTCTAGAATATTTATGATTTAATTTGCTTGCTCCACAGAACATTGTAAGCAGATGATTGGTATAATGCTAGAAGACAATATTGTGTAGAGTATTATGTTGAGCATTATGTTACATGGATGTCACAGGATGATCTAAAAACATCATTTACAACTCATACACACATTGGATGTTCATAGAGCACTACATCAATGTCATGAGGGAATTGAAGAACCTACCTGTTCCCTGGTTGTTTGCTGAAAATTAAAATTGTATCCATATCGCCATGTTAGACATATATATATATCAATTCCATAGAACATCAGCTAATGACATTCTTTTTAAAAGGCGATCTCTGTGTTTGTAAAAAATACACTTAACAATGAGAATCGATCTAACCTGGTGTTGGTTTTAAAACATTCAGCCTTTTCCTCGTTACATCACTGATGCAATAGTCCTCATGGTTATATTTTTTCTCCTTATGTACTCTTGAAAATCTTAATTAACCAATGGGATCTGCTTGTCATCGTTGTTTTGTGCCTAACCCAAGCCGTATATTCACCATTAATGCATGCCGGAATGAATGGTCACAACAGTCGTCACTCTCGCTCGCTGTATCAACTCTGGAGAAAAACCACCGCCACCACCGAAAAAAAAAAAGTTCATAAAAATTCACCTGTACCAATATCCTATTTTCCCTGTATTAGTACTGCATTCACATCCAGATGCACACTATTCATCTTAGTTGAGGCAAAATTATACATCTCACCATCTTAATTTTACTTTCAAACATCGGTATGTTATGTATGTCTGTTGGAATGACTGTATGTATGGATGAATGTTAAAGATAGTGGAGGAGAAAAGAAGAACAAAAGAAAATGGACAGAAATGCCACTTCAAAAAATCATTTTAAATCAAAGTTGGCTATCTTTGGTATTATGGGCTAATTTGGATGGGATCATGAGAACCAAAATGATATATATCTTGTATTAACAGATTTTTTATACTTCTATCATTGCGAGAGTGAGAAGATGTGAGACGGATAAAAAGTGAAGTATTTGAAGAGGACATCTGGTCATGTATATGATTTTGTTTGTAACATGCATCGATGTTAATATATTTTGTTATATTATAGTCTCCGCACCAACATAATGGCAGTTTGCATGGTGTGACATTGTAGCCTCACAAACTGTAATTAGTCCATTCGCATCTTATATGTGTGGCTTATTTCCCCCTTTTCCCAACTGTCAATGTTTTAGCTACATTTAAAGGTAAAATAAAAGGTAGCTTTGTTATCATACTTCATTTGGAAGTTTTAAGCACAGTTGGGACATGCACTAATGTATTCAAATGTATCATTATGAACGTTGTACCCTCGCTACCCAAATGCCTAGAGGATGTAATGTTAGCTAATTAGATACAGTGATGGTTAGTATTTGAGATTTACAGCAGGGCTATTAAAAAAGTAACTTTGCAAATTGAATTCAAGAGATTTTTCAACAGATACCGGTAACCAATTATTATTATAGTGCATCAATATGCAATTATACATCATTGTTTGTCTATGTAAGAAAATAGCCTAGAACTTTGAATTATGAAGCATATTGCGAATATGATACCATTATTTGAATACATTAGTAACTTGAACTGTAGCTTTGAAAAAAGTAAAATAGTTTAGGAGAACATTCATTAGAACATTATTAATGATGGGACTTGCAGCTCACGAACACTTCACCATGTTGTACATGTATGTACCTCTACTTGTGCTCTAGGCCCTTCAATGGGTTATATGCAATCTGCCTTTAATACTAAGATACATTTCTAATCCTAATTCATCTTGCCAATCAAACAACAACAACAACAACCGCTATCAGTCCAACCTCTTTTCTCTCAAATCATCCCTGTTTTTCAGTTATTATTTTATTGGTTTTATTGTCAGAAGGGTGTTATGATGCTGTGATGAAACCAGTTGGGCATCCTTAACACCCTTCTGTCTCTAAAGCTGATTTATGACTTTTTACTTTTCTTCCCTATCAGCACCCATAAGTTGGAGATTAATGCATGGTTCTATGGATTTATATCAAACATCAAGCCAATAATTGACCCACATACACTCCAATCTTCAAATTTTCATGTACAGCTCAAATTCCGTCCATTATTACTGCATGAACTCTCCATTTTAAGCCCAAAAGCTGTGGTATCTTACATTAGTTATCCTTCCCCTTGCTTCCTCATCTCACTTATACAAATTGTCTTCCATGGTAATTGTTTATTTGGGGAAACCCACGGACTGCCATAACTTTGTTTTATCCATGATAAAGAACCCAGAATGAACATTACAGTGAATGGGCACACTAACAAACTATGCACTTATATATGCTTCTATATCTGGGAAAGAACAAAAATTTATTGTGATATAATGTTGAAGTGAGATGTAAATATTTTTATAGAGAGTATATATCTATTTTTATAGGATAACAGTGTCCTTTATAAAATGAATCGGACAGAAGTGAGATGTGCAATAAATTATTTATTTTTTATATGAAATTGATGCCAAAAGAAAACAGTATTCTAGACAGAGTCAGTGTGTATTTTGTTAAAGCTTTTCTTCACTTGATTTTTCTCCTTGTTTTTTGAAGTATTTTTTATGCAAGTGATTAATGTGATTCACCAGGGTTTCTACTGTCAGCATAATTTTTTTTTTAATCGAAACGTCGTTTATAGATGCTCCCTCGTACTCCTTTTTGATGTTAAATTGAACTTGAAATTTCATATTTGTTAAATTACAAGTTTGATTGGAGAACATTTTTTCAAGAACTGTATCTGAGCTCCTTTATAGAACCAACCTACAAGAGAGGCAGTTATTTATGTATATGAGTATGACCTACGTCATGATTAAGCAATATTGGCATGGTGAAAATCACACCCAGACAAGATGATCATTGAGACTTCAATACCTGTAATATTCTTTATAGTGTTATTCGAAGTCCCTAAATGATTAAACAATGATCAGAATATTATAATATCGGGCAATTCCACTTGAAAGAATTCTCATGAAACTAGGTGGGTGTTTTTAATGAAAAAGCCTCTCTGAAAATTAGTTTTCTGTAAAACAAATGTCTTCATCACAAAGAGAAGTATACAATCTTTTGAGAAAAAATTGTAGCTTAAGTTTTAGCAGAGAAATTCATTAGATTTTGTTTTTATTGCAAATTGAAACTGTTATTCCATTACTGATAAACTTCGTTTGACCTTCCAAAGTTCCATGTGCATAATATTATATCTTG